CCCCCAAGATAAAGGAAAACAGAAAAAAAGCCCAAAGACAACAAAAATTAAAACCAAACACAATCCTTGTAAGAGGACAATAACAGAAATAAAGGGCTAGTATTTAAATTCTATAGAATTAATTTACTGACTTGGGCCCAAAGAGCATTTTTTTAAAAAGGGGAAAATGTAAAATTTCTTTGAAAGCAAAAATAAATTACTCATCAGCAAAATATGGTCATTAATAAAAATGCAATATTGAAAGTCACTACTAAACAGAAAACCCATGCCAAAAAACCCAACAAACCAAACTGCTCATTTTATTAAAACAATGCACCGCAATAACAAAATATTCTTAAATAATCACATCCAAAATGTAAAATATTTTGCTAATTCGTAAAAAAAAAGAAACCATTATGCTGTTGAAGTAGACAAAGTAAAACAATTATAGAATCAGCCATTTCAGACAATAATGTGCAGCGCATATGAATGTGGCAACATTGTGCAGGCAAGTGAAGGAAGATCTTGAACTTCTATGCTACCACCAACTTCACTGACAAAGGGCAATACGTAATCAACACTCATGAAAACCCCCCAAAAAAACAACAACAAACAAACAGACAAACAAGGAAGTGCAATAATAAACATTTTAAAAAGAAGTAATGAAGTGCAACAAGCTGCAAGTTTTCAGGTTCTCTATGTACACAGAAATTAAGGATAGAACTGAAAACTCATAAACCGCGGCTGTAATATGTGAGGCCCCGAGTTAAAATCAGGCGCTCGTTAAAATAATGAAATGGAAGATATCAGCATTTTTCCTATGGGTTGGCAATTTTATTCGGATTTTTGTTTTTTGGCTCAACACCTTTCATTTTCATCTAAAAACATTATTTCTGTGTTGGCTTTTTTTTTTTCAAAACAATGATTAAAGCTTCAAAAAATGTAAATTTTCAGTTTTCAACGGCTCTCAAGCATTGGAAGTCACCGAATTGTGGCGGCCATTTTTTTCCTTATGTTACTGCTGAAACCTGGCGACCCCCATTCCTTCAATCACACATATCTCAACATTTATTCAACTTATATGGGTTTGTTTTTTTCAAAAGATAGGCAAATGAACAAACTTTCAAATGATACCAATAACTCTATATGCCCAAAAATTTATGAGCACCTGATTCCACCATGTTATGACGCGGTAGAATCAGGGGCTCGTCAGTTTTGGGGAATCTAGAGCTATTGGTATCATCTTAAATATTGTTCATTTGACCGTCTTTTGATGAAAATATACACGCCTATCTTGAATAGAAGTCGAGACATTTGCGATTGAAAGAGGTCGGGGTCGCCTGTTTTCAGAGATAAAATTAGCGAGAAAATGGTCGCCAAAGTCTGGTGATTTCCAAAGCTTGAGAGTCCTTGGGAACTGAAAATTTACATTTGTTGTGCCTTTCATCAATGTTTTTCAGGAAAATTCACACAGAAATATGTATTTAAATGGACATATAAACTGTCGAGTCAAAAAACAAAATTATTTTTAAAATTGTCAAAAGAAGAAATGCCAATGTCTTTGAATTCATTATTTTGATGAGCGCCTGATTTCACCACGATGCCTCAAATATGTAAAATGTCGTTACTCCTATTGACCCCTCTCAACTGGTCACGAAAAAAAACCCCTAAAGTTACTCATTTTCCCTATGACAGCAGCAAAATATATCTTGCATCCTCTTTTTTTTCCTTTAGTCTTTCCTTCATTTTCTTAAGTATTATCCTCTTATCATTCCATGTTTTAATAGTTCTCTTCGATTTTATCGACCTCTTCAACTGACCTTTTCTTTTACTTCTTCCCAAATTTTCAAGTGTCCTTCAGTAAAATTTCCACAGCATCCTCTTCAAGCTGTTACTAGCTTTCAATAATTAAGAGACATCTTGGTGAAATCAGGCGCTTGTCAAAATAATGAAAAAGAAATTGCCACTTTTTCGGCCGATGAGTAATTTTTTTTTAACTTTCTTTTTTTTGGCTCAACACATTCTATGTCCATTTCAAAACACATTTATGTGTAAATTCTACTGAAAAACCTTGATTAAAGGCACACAAAATGAAAATGTTAAGTTTCCAAGGACTCTCAAGCTATGGAAGTTATCAAACTTTGGAGGCCATTTTCTCGCTAATTTTACATCTGAAACCCAGGAGACCCTGACCTCCTTCAATCACAAATATTTAGAATACTATTCAAAATAGATGGGTATTTTTTTTTTCTCCTAAACGAAGGCAAATGAACAGGCTTTAGGACGAAGCCAATAACCTCGTATGCCTAAAAATTGACGAGCACCTGATTCAACCACGTCGTGACACATGTTTTCCTTGTAACATTTCTGTACAGTTTTGGAGAGAATTTTGATACTTAAAGTTCTCTTCTCTATCTCTCTCATACATTATGTGTTTGATCCTTGAGTTTGGGATCTTAGCTGCCGCCTATAAAAAAACAGGTAAACTTCTGAAGGACTCACATACACAATAACAAAAACATGTGGAAACATCAGCATCACCAAAACTCACTTATATGTTTTCAAACAATAATATACATAGTTGATTGGATTAATACTTCATAAACAAGGGAAAAAGAGAAAATAACCAACACACTAAACTGACATATGGAATAATGACGAACTGTGCTCACATAATTAATAAACGTGTTGAAATGTTTTACAATGAAGATGATCCCACAGAAAGAGTGCATTTAACAAAGGCAAAAATCCACACAAACAATCTTCTATAATAAGTGTTTTGCAGAAGAATATGTCATGATCATCTAGTCAAATACTATACACAATGCTTGAACAAGAAAAATAAGCAACTAATATTTGGAAGATATCAGATACGACATTGCTCTTCACATGAGTGCAACTAAGCAACTGAATAAACCAAAATGATTGACATATCGACACAAACGAGTATAAAAAACTAATTTAGAGTGCACAAACATTTAGATACTTAAGGTATTGTGCTGGTATAAAAAATAAATAAATAAACAAACGCACAAACAAAAAAAAACAAGGAAAAAAAACCCCTTATATCGGAGAGATGTCAAAGGCTCAGAGTAGAGCAGAACTTTTGAAAAAGAAGCATTGTGACTCAAAGCGATGGCCACCTCAATCAATAAATAGCATGTGCCACAAAAAGCTTAACACATTCCATATAAGAGGGCTGTCCCACGGAAAACCGGAAAAGATCCATAAAAGCAACAATTTTTGTCCTATTATAATAAAAATGTAACACATCATACCTCAACATGTGCTTTATTTCTCAATGTAATCACCATCCCGCTGGACGCATTTTTCCCATCGCTGGATCAGGGAGAAGATACCCTCCCTGAAGAATTTTTCGTCAAAGGATTTCAACCACTCTTCTTTCACGGCTTCCACGAGGCCTTCGTCGTCGATGAATCGCTGTCCAAAAATATGGCGTTTCATTGGTCCAAAAAGGTGATAATCTGACGGGGCCAAGTCAGGACTGTGAGGGGGGAGTGGCAGAACTTCCCAGCCGAACCTTTGGATTAAGTCTTTCGTAGCATTTGCGGTGTGTGGCGTTGTGCTGTCATGCTGCAATATTACCCTGCTGGACAACCGGCCGGGTCTTTTTCGGCACACAACCTCTCTCAACTTATCAAAAGTCAGGCAGTATCTGTTAGCATTAACAGTTTGTCCTAATTCCAAAATGTCAAGAAGCAGAACACCCTTAGCATCCCAGAAAACCGTGACCATGAGTTTCTTCACCTGTGGCTGAACTTTAAACTTTTTTGGGGGAGGTGAAGACGTGTGTTTCCAAACCATTAAATCCTTCTTTGTCTCAGGGGTCATGTGGTGTATTTATCTAAGTCTCATCACCTGTAACAATGCTTCTCAGGAATGATTCATCGTATTGTTGGAGGTCTCCAGATGCGTTCATGACTCCCGTGACAGTTTGGTGACAACGAATCAACAAAATCTGAGACACTTCAACACGTTGCATCTTGTGGTCAGCTGTCAGCTCTTTGGGACCCATCAAGCAGAGACCTTTCGATAGCGCAGCTCATCAAACACTATCCTATGGACAGTCGACTTTGAAGAAATGTTTAGCGACTCGGAAATTTCGTGAATTTTCAGGCGCCTGTCTGTTTGAATGAGTTCGTTAACGCGACTCTTATTGTCCTCAATCTTGGCAGAAAAACAAGGTCCTGGGAGAACTTTGTCATTGACATCTGTATGCCCGGCTTTGAACTATTACACCACTCATATACCTGTGACTGTGCCATTACTTTCTCCCCGTAAACTGACTTTATTTCAGTGTATATTATTTCTATAGGTTTGAAACCTTTTGCTGTCAGAAACCAAAAGACAAACCTCACTTCCATCCTTTATCAATTTTCCAAGGGGGTAACCATCTTCGGAGAACTGCTGTGTTCGTTTGGTTAGAAGGATGCTAATGGCGCTCAATTGGGAAATTCCTAAATGATCGTTTTACAAGTGTGCGTTTGCAGAATGTGAAAATATTTAATAGTTTTCAAATTACAGCCAAATTCCGGTTTTCCATGGGACAGCCCTCGTATAATCTGATTCCGTGCTTCTAGACCTATATCACTGGTGGATCAAGAAAGGTTGAATAACTACGTCAACAAAAATATCAACCTAATGAACTCATTCAGTGCTGAGAGCAAGAATGAAGGACTCCCCTCCCATACCGGGCAGCATTGTGATGGTTACAAGTTATTTGGTCGACTGAGGGAAAATAAATACAGCAAATACTATTGAGTTTATCTTTGTGCAGTCATTTTTTTTAGTTTATCTTTGTGCAGTCATTTTTTTTTTACGTTCATGTTTAATAGATTTACTAACTCTAACAATGTAAATCCAATTCAGTGTCTACTTAGGTCAGGTAAAAATAAATGCCGTTAACACCAATACACAGGAAGATCAGAAGGGGCACGGCAGCCAGCAGGTAAATGTATACATCTAGTTTTCTCACTTACTTGAACCCTATCATTTTCTTCCCTATCACTAACAGTACAAGCATTACTGCAATCCTCATATAAGTTAGAATCAAGGATAATGTTGATTACTTCACAACATAAATACCTCTTGAAAGTGACAGGTTTCATATGATTAAGGAGCAAGATTTTTTGCAAAAGGGATTTAGTCTGCTCGACGTTTCCAGTCATGCAAAACACGTGGATTTTCGTATTGGGTTTAGTCTAAAATAAAGCTATTTCACTTTAAAGACAAATATGTAGAATGTGGGAATACTAATTGATCGCAATGTGCAGGAGCCTGTCTTGAAAAAATTCTCCCCCATGGCACTGAATAAGTTTAAAACTGCTCAGCTCATTTTACAAGGACAAGGGTAATTATATGTTAGTTAAAATACCTAAATTGTAATTTTTCTCCCTAACATTTAAAACAACAAATCGCAATTCACAGCTACACTAATTTTCTGACAAAATTTGGCTCCACATTATGGCAGTAAAACAGTTCAAACCGACACAAGGGGGCTACAATGGAATAAACCACCTCTGACAATAGCAACACAAAAACTGATTTAATATTGGCTATAATTGTAGTTTGTCAAAAAGTGTCACTTATGGAACATTATAAGACTATAATGCGACTATTTTTCTTCCCCCACATTAAAATATGAAAAAAAAAAAATATATTTTAAAAATATGTTTTAAAAAATGATAGCAATGTAGCTCAACTGCTTTCATGTCACTCCAAAATCTGCAATCATCAAATCTTGACCAAAAAAAAGCCTAAAGAGAAATATGCCTGCCATGGTAGCAAAGAGCAATAGCATAGAAAACTTACCCCATTCTCCCATGGTTTCTTCAAAAGCAAAATAAATGGACAACACAATATCCATGAATTCACTTCCAGATTGCCAAAAGACTAGTTTTGTCAGTATAACAAATCAGAAGCTAAGAAATCATTCAATTACTACAGACACAATGGCGTCTCTGGGAATTTTATTGATACTACTGATGTAGGATAATTGTTCATAATGGTGGGTTATATTTTTTTTCTTGTATTATTTTATTTAAAGTCAGTCACAACAGACACACTCTTTTATGTGAAAGCCAGGGGTATAAGTGTGTATAAATCTGTACACGCATGTATGCACAGATGTTTTGCTTGTGTGTGTGTGTGTGTGTGTGTGTGTGTGTGTGTGTGTGTGTGTGTGTGTATGTGTGTGTGTGTGTTTGTGTGTGTTTGTGTGTGTGTGTGTGTGCATTTGTCCATTTTTGTATCTGAGTGTGTGTATGGGGGGGGGGGGGTTGTGGGTCTGCATGTGTGTGTGTGTGTGTGTAAGCATCTGAGAGAGAGAGAGAGAGAGAGAGAGAGAGAGAGAGAGAGAGAGAGAGAGAGAGAAAGAGAGAGAGAGAGAGAGAGAGAGAGAGAGAGAGAGAGAGAGAGAGAGAGAGAGAGAGAGAGAGAGAGAGAGAGAGAGGAGGAGGAGGAGGAGGAGGAGGAGGGAGGGTGGGGAGGTACATGATTTCTGTACAGTCTACAAAAAAAATAATGGGTTTTTTGGGGTTGTGAAGAATGAAATGCACCTGGTACCATACAGAGAATAAGAGTAAGGTCAAAGAATCTACATTATTACAATTGTGGATTATCACAAATGTTCAGTTGTAAAAATATAGTCAAGATAAGAATATAGGAACACTAAAACGATTTTGTAAAAATATGTGTCAGTGTAAGATAAGAGGAAAACAAATATGACATTGTTAACAGAACAAGGCAATACAAGTAGTAAGACTTATGGTTGGTTCTAGCCTGGAACAATGTAGCACCACCTTCAAACTGAAATGGGCTTTGTGAGACTCAAAATCTATTTCTCATGGGATTGAATGATGTGGACTGAGCACCATAAAGACTTCTAATAACGCAGATTTTAAAAAATGTCCAGTAACAGAGAGGGAACAAGTATCACTCACACCCCAGTCCACTATCACTACAACTGAATATATGTAATATATATAATTGCATTTAATAATTGTATTTACATAGCGCATATCCATGCCATACAACATACTCAATATGCTTTTCAAGTATTTTTACTTCAGCAGAACCTATAACACACAGAAACATTCTCAGGTTCCTGTGAAGTAAACAGTGCAGGCTGCTGATTTCACATGCTCAAACTCTAACAAACAGAAAAGACCTTCCACGGTCTAAAGCTGAGGACCCATTTCCACCTGAGTGAAGTAAGGAAAATTTGTGCAAAGTGTCTTTCCCAAAGATACAACGTCTTGCCCCTGGCAGGATTCAAATCCATGGCCTTACGCTTGCGAGTCTGAGGGCCTAACCACTAAGCCACCAAGGCACAACAGCATTTTCAGATCAAACCTAGATCAGGAAAACTTAATGACTGAACACACAAACCATATTATAATGGGGAAACCTCTAGAACTGTTATCCCATTAGACAGCTGTGATCAGGGTGACTAGAGAGTTACATTATTGCCCAATCCTAAAAAGGTCAAAAGTTCATATAGTACAAAGCAAATAACAACTGGTGACAAGTAAGATTTGAAAAGTATCAGAAGCACCCCAAGTGAAGAAGTTATTTAATTAAGTCATCATTAAAAAGGAAAAAATTCACAGCACAGTCTGAAGCAAATAAGTTACGGGCACTCAATGAAAAACAAATTATGCCTACAGGTCATCATGCAAAGGTCAAAGATCATTGCACTATCATATTGGGACCATCCCCTCTGATTCCAGATTTGTATCCCAGGACATTTAAAACTATGACTTCATTTTTATCCTTGCAGCCATCTTGGAAAAAAAAAATATGCCTAACTACCGATGGTTAGATATGACATGCATGGTTGGTAACACACAAGAGCTTGTCATGAACTAGGTCTGGCAATATTATAAGCTAAATAAAAACCGGGGCAGCAGTGAAGGGGAAAAAAAACCACACGTTGCAATGGCGACAACGGCAACTCACGATGACAGATTGGAAGAGCTTGTTTCTCGTATGTAACTGACAAGTAAGAATAAATGTTCCCAGCAACTGCTATGGTGTGCTAAATCATTTCGCTACGAGTGCTCAGTAGCAGAGTGGGAGATGTAGCAGGCTAACCACTTCCTGCTATCTGAGATGGATGACAAAAAGTGTTGATTTACCTATTAAACACACTAATCGGAGCATCGAAGGGAGTAAAAACTTATCGAAAAGAAGCACTCATTTTGGTGTAATGATATATTCTCAGGGAGCTGCTTGTTTCTTCCTATCTGGATCAAAGTATACATCCTATGGTCTCCGATACATGTTGCATGTCTGTGTAGTTGAGACCATCTAAAGTCCATCTCATAACGTAGCTATTTCCGTGATGGACAGGGAAGTATACCAGTGTCCAGAACTGGAAATATCTGTCCAAAACTTCCTGAACCCATTGTCATTTTCTCCACTCCTTATCCACTAAAGATCAACAGACAGAACACAAGGAAGATACAAACCTTCTGGATGTGTGGCAAGCCATCAGCACCAAGAATCACAGGTTTCCCAATGTCTGAGATGTCTGAGGGAACAAATAAATTAAACAATGAAAAGAGGAAGGAGACTTCTAGAGATACAAAATCTGAGATGGCCATAGCATAGAGCAGTAATGGACAGGTTACATTTGATTGTACCTAATAAACGCTCTAAACAGTGCATCAAACAGGATTTTAAAAAAAACAAACATCTTAAAAAACAAATCATTTTCTGGAAGGCCAGATGTTAAGATGATTTAAGTCCAAAATTTGAAACCCCCCCCCAGTCTTTTCTCTTTGTTGAAGTGTTTTGCTGTTGAGCACCTTACCAATGTTTTTATATCACCCTCACTCAGGGGAGTTATGATAATTTTGACGATGACCAATACTTCCGCAGAGAAGAATATCTCTCCAGCGAAATAGAAGGGTCAGAAGATTTAAAGGTTAAGTTGACTTGTGGCTTCCACTGCGGCCAATCAGACCAGAGGATTTTCAAGTACACTAACTGCATATCAGGAGAAGGTACAACTTCTAAGATGGCCAAATGCTGCAAATCAATATCTGTTCTCTGATTTACATTTCATTAGGTGTTATAATACCACATTTTCACTATGTGTTATAATACCTTGGTATTATTACCTCTGTATTCTTGCCTGCTTTCTTCTCCTCTATGCTACATCTCAAAAATGACCAAAGCGTGTAACAGTACATAAATAGATACAAAGACAAGACACAAAGAGTACAGCATCCCGCATTTAAATTTATAAGACTTAAATGATATTCCTTTCCAAGGCATCAATTCAGGAAAAAACTTGTAGTGCTTCGTGACCCAGTCAGATATGAGCGGTCTTCACATTTTGTTGTCTTTCCAAGAATTTAATGCCTCACCTAATGTCTTTTAAATGACCTACTGTGTGTCTCAATGTGAACTGAACATCAATTTAAATAATTATAATAATAAATACCAATTGTATAGTGCATATCCCCAATCGAGAGCAAGCTCTAAGCATTTTACACCTAGAATACTCAGAGGCATTCTCCGCTTCCCAGGAAGCATACAGTGCAAGCAGCTGATTAAGCCTTAAAGCATTAACAAACTGAAAAGATCTTTAGCTGTCTATGGTCTTGTACCCATTCCCAACTGGGTGGAAAGAGGAAAATTCCTGTAAAGTGCCTTTCCCAAGGACACAGTGTTGGACCCCTGACAACAGGGTTCAAACCTAAGACCTTACATTTGCGAGTCTGTGTGTCTAAAAATAAATTTTAAAATAAATTAACTTTTAAATGTTTCTAAAACTAAAAGAAAAGACTGAAAGCAAAGATTTTGTGAAGCCTATCTATGTGTACTCATAAAAAAAATTTAAAGAAAATCAAAGAAAAATACAAGCAAATCCTCTATTTTCCTTCTGTGTCAGTTACCTGGACCAACAATGCCAGTGTCCTCACTAGTAGTGGACATTGGACGGTCACCATCCTGCTTGGCCTTCTTCTTACCTGTCAGGACAAAGACAGGCAGCGACGACCAATGTTACAAAGCTAAGCTTGAGAGAATCAAAATAGGTATTTAAATGTAAATGCATGCACAGTTACAAGTTTTAAACCTATTTAATCTGATCATTAAAATAGAAAAAGTAAAAAAAACAATTTTTAGAAAAAAGAGTTAGATCTAGATTCATAAATATATTCTAGGACAATGTTTGAACTTTTTTGGCGTAAGAGAACATTTTTTTAAAATGAAGAAAATGCTATTCACTACTTAGAAAACAAGACAGAGAGTTACAAAAAATAAGTCTAGATAAGATGAAGCAGGTCACGGACCTCCATACTGCCAAGGACCTGTACAAGCCAGAAATAAAAAAGCTGAATTCATTACAAATATTCATTTTGCAAAGCCAAGACCTCTTACAGCAATCAAATTCTAATGAAAAAGGAGAGGTTACAGTTTCAAAGCATAATATTTCATAAATGCCAACCAGCTTTTTCAGGACATGGTCCATGGAAAATGTGCATCGAATTATACAAATTTCTAGTAAATCTACAAAAGCTTGGAAGATGATGTGAGCAAGAATTCGATAAGCTGAATCATTATCTGACCTTTAGGAATACCCTTCACAAAACTACTAACCTATCCAGTGTCCATCTACTTTAATACTTTTCTAACACTAAGCTGTGTTGTGTTTGAAATACTGAGCCCAAAAACTTTTACTCAGAACTGTTGGCAAGTTCACCTAAAGCGATCTGAAATCATGATAATAAGCAAAGAGTCCCCAATCTCACTGGAAAATGAGGGTTACCCCTTATTAAAGGAATATATACTAATGTGATGCAAACTATTAAGTGATTGGTGAATGAAGAGACAGAAAACAGAGAAACAGAAACACGAAAAGTCAGACAGACAACGAACCAGATTGAAAATTAGAGAAAAGTAAAAGAAACTAAAAGAAAGAAAAAAAGAAGGAAGAAGGGCAGGTTTGTGTTTTGGAGGTGGAAGTTCAACTCCACATGACACACCAGACTTGGGCTTTTTGATGGTCCATAGGACATTAAGTACATCTCCAGGGATACAGGGAACAATTGTTATTATTATTTTGCAATTAAATGTTTCACATTCCAAAGGAAACAATTTCAATCATTGTTGCTTCAGTCTGCCTGTAACTGCCTGACTGAGCTGAAAGGTATACAACGTCCAAGCAGACGGAGATACTCAACAGATAAACCTTCCCACACAGGAATAGGAATCAAACTTTCATCTTCTGGGCATGACCGAGGGTCTAACCCCTATCCAAAGATACTATTCGAGAACAACTGAAGAAATGCCTTTAGATTCCAACATCAAACTTCCATATCAAACTTCCATGCATAGTCAGACATGTACCAAGCTGCACCTGTCAAGGCCAGCATAAAAAAAGACCCTAGAAAAAGACCAAAGTGATGTGAGCTAAAAAAAAAAAGAAAGAAGAATGGAAAAAACCACACTGAAGAACAAACGGAGGGCAAAGTCTGTGAAACAAGAGAAGAGAAAAAGAGGTATATGTAAAGGATCACAGCAAACCATAGGTATACAATGTGGTGATGAGTTTCTGTGCTAGACTAAAAGAGGTGACTCATGCACACTATTACCCATCTTTCAAACATTCGAACAATATGGATTTAAAACTCGCAGTAATCTACGCGTGATTTCATTAAGGATCCAACTTTTTACAAAGGACGCTAATTAAATCCCAGTGTAGACTACTGATCACCCCCCATGAGGCATGTTCAATGATACTTACCAGACAATAGTACAAACTCTTTGTAACTCACAAATCATCTTCATGTCTAATAAATGCAGCAGTTTTTAAAAAATAAATTAGAAGCTCAAAAGTTAAGAAAGTGCTGTTCCTACTAACCTACTTTTTAAGCCAACTTTACAATGTTCACTTTCAATGTTTTAGCTATATTCTATGATGTGTTCTGAATGTAAGATACTCTTACAAACATTTGGCCTTTCACAGGAAACTTAACCATTTGAGAGACAAAACCCATGAATCAGTGTCCATTTCCAATGTGAGACTCACTTTAAAAAAACCCAAAAAGTCAAGTCTGACAATAGAGCTCAAGTTAACAAAGCTTATGTACATGTAAGTAACAGTGGCCAAATTGCTCACATGTGTGAAAATGTGTGTACAAGTGTTTATGTGTTCCTGTGTGTGGCATATATAAATGTTTATCTATGCATGTGGGTGAATATGACTACACATTTCAATTGTGTGAGTGTGTGTTTGCCACATGTGAATAAAGAACAGTAGATAAGTTCAAGCAGACAAATAAACCAGGGAGGGATTCTTTTTGTTTTGGCTGTACAAGAAGGAAGATGCCATGAAAGTGGGGGAAGGGTGATGGGAGGAGGAGGAATTATGGAAGAGGGAGCAGAGGATGAAATGTGGAAGAAGAGGGGGGGGGGGGGGGGAGAATGCAGCGAGTCTGGATACAAATAACCAAAACGAATAAAGGTAAAGACAAGCTTGGCATAGCTGAGATGAAGCTGTGAGTGCAAGACGTGCACATGCGAAACAAAAAGGCTGGTGGGAACAAAAATTTTGGGGGGGGGGGGGGGGGGTTGTAGCTGTGGCGCAGGAACAACAGGCATAGAAAAGGTCGATAGGTTGGAAATAGAGTCAAAGCCAACATGTTTATAGATGAGAGAGAGAGAGAGAGAGAGAGAGAGAGAGAGAGAGAGAGAGAGAGAGAGAGAGAGAGAGAGAGAGAGAGAGAGAGACAGACAGACAGACAGACAGACAGACAGACAGACAGACAGACAGACAGACAGACAGACAGACAGACAGAGACAGAGACAGAGACACAGAGAGAGGGGGGGGGAGACAGACTGACAGACAGACAGACAGAAAGAGAAGGAAGGCGGAGTGAGAAAGACAGGGGGAAGAGACACACAGACAGGTAGGTAGGGAGGTAGGAAGGCAGGTAGGTAAGTAAAGATGGGAGGGTGAGTAGACAAGGAGGGGGGAGGGTGGAGGAGTGAAGAAAGGAAAAGAGTGAGGGACAGAAATTCAGAGACAGAGACATGAAGAAACAGATAAACATCTGTAGTTACGCAGGCAAAACATGAATAAGAATGTGTGTTTGCGTGAGTATGCATCTGAGCACGCATGCATGCATGTGTGTGTGTGTGTTTGTGTTTGTGTATGTTTGCATATGTACATGTGCATGCATGTAGGCATCGTGTTTTTACTGTGAAAAGGTATGCACTATTTCAGATTGTGGGCAATTTCTTTAGCACAGAAACCATTCCTGGTTCAATATGCAACCACTGATGTTAAGAACAATAAACTGTCAGTGATTTTCAAAAGAGAGTACCTTAAAACACACCTGGATCTTTTAATCAGGATTGATTATAAAACTCCTTAAAATAATTTTTTTAAAGCCAACTTTTACCCCAGGAGCAGTGGAACATCATAACTTTAAAAAAATCAAAACCCCCCCAAAAACCCATATTAATTCAAAAAACAAATTATACAAGTACTCATCCCTGTTTATTAGTATCAGCGAGTTAAAGTTAAACCAAAAAAAAAAAAAAGAAAAAAGGAAGAAAAGAAAAGAAAACGCGATGGGAGATAGCAGCAGTAAAGAGGTCGCACTCTGGAGAGTTGGTCCATTACATTGGCTATTCAGAAAAGACCTGTGTGTGCACAATGGAGAATAAAGTGCCAGTGAACAAACACTCCTCAATCTAGTGGGGAAACATCCTGACTTGTTCCAAAACTCATGAAAAGGGATACAGGGTTTATTTATCATCGCTTTATAGTACAATTCAACCCATGCTTCAAAGCCATTTTTGAGTTTGTTACAACTGCTAATAAGGCATTAATTTAGAACAGCCTAGCCCGTATTTACAAACAGCAGTAATCAAAGCCTTCCAGCTTACATTTTGTTATCAAAAACACAATAAGAATTCACCTTTACAGATGTCATTATTTACCACCTACCCAAGCGTAAAAGATTTGAACACAGATCTTGCAATACCTTCCCACGTCTCTCCCTCCACCATCCCCGATCTCTTCTCCCCCCCCCTCCAGTTGATCTTTTTCAACATGTTTTGTCAGTCCTCCAGTTTTTGTGGGTTTTTTATAACACAATTTAGATCATTTAGGAGGCATGCATAGACCCTGCCTGTCAGGGCCAACCTGGGCTGCTGAGAGGGATCACCAACATCCCAGCAGAAAGACTGAGCTACTCAAACAAAATTCTTGCCTCACAGGAATCAAATTCATATGTTTTATGTGCAATGACAAAGGGCCCGACTGCTAAACCACAGATGCCAGTCTCCATTTTATTAAAGAATATTTCTTGTTTGTCTTCTGCACTGCATTCAATCTTACTGATCCAACCAGTGACCTATTTCTTCATGCGACTTTCATCACTCCTTTACTTGTTTTCTTTGTTGCTTTCTCTTGTGGTGTTTGCTTTTATTGTGTGTGTGGGGGGGGGGGTACTCTGGGTGGGAAGAAAAGGGAGGGTCTCCACTCAGGCTATTCTAGGTGCTCTATCAATGACCCTCAATTCAGTTACTCTAAAGATGCAATGCGCACACACGCAAGGCTTAAGCAGGTTTTGGGTAAAGCACTAAAGCACATCTCTTCAAAATATGAGCACAGTGCTGAGGGGAATTCTAAAGACGAATCACTTCTGAATTCTTAAACCAGTAACAATATATAAAGTCAGTAAATACAAATTAGTTCGATTCCAGCTAAGATTTATGAAACTTAAAACAAGCGAACGATGCCTAGTTTGTTTGTTTTTGTTAATAGTCTTCACTTCCACTTAAAAAACCTTTAACTAAAAAAGCAAAAACAGGTCAGGATGTTTTAATGTGAAATATGCTGAAGGGATATGTTAATAACCAATGAAAAATATTGTATGTAATTGATATAGTATATTATCATTTTAAAAAAGCAAAACGCAGATTTAAAAAAACCAAAAAAACCTCTAAATGCCGAGGTAAAAAGGACGAATGTAAAAAGGAGAGAATGAAGATTATAAAAAAACACTATAACGGCCCATTACTCCAACAGCAGCTGCAAACCAATGTAAAAAAAAAGGAGGGGCAAAAGTCACCTGTGTGTAGCTCGCCTGACTCGTCCTCATCAAGTCCCCCTAGCACTATTGGCCATTAGCGGGAAATCATAATATGGTAACACATTAGGGTCATATTTCATTTTAAAAAGACAAAATGCTGACAATGTAACCAATATAAAGCAGAAGAATTGATATCAGAGATGGGCAAACAAATAAGTGTGAAAAGGATGGGACGAAAATGTGGATGGAGAACAAAGTTCAAAATAAAATGTGCGTGTGAGAGAGAGGGAGAGGGAGAGGGAGAGGGAGAGAGAGAGAGAGAGAGAGAGAGAGAGAGAGAGAGAGAGAGAGAGAGAGAGAGAGAGAGAGAGAGAGAGAGAGAGAATGATGCAAAAACAGAGACAGTGAGGAAGAAGAAATATGTTAAAACATGCAGAGGAAGAAGACGTAAAATAATAAAAAGCGAGGATTGATTTTTTTTTAAAAGGGGTTGTGTTTTTGTTTGAATTGCTTACAGTAGTCTTTCTGTGTTTTAGCGAGGGATAAAGGGGGCAGATAAAGTCAAAGGAGAGTGAAAGAGAAGACTGTATAGGGCCAACAAAGGGAAGGCTGTAGAATGCTGAATTATGAAAAAAAAAAAGAAAATCATGATCCAGGAATCTTTCAGTTCGCACGTCTCTAGCAGTCTACCCAGCCAGAATGTAAAGCAAACTTAGGCAGGATGAAGAGAATGTCATAAAATAAGGAGATTCAAAGATCACACAGCACATATTAATTTCTATTTCAGTAGACAGCAGGACAAAACAGACTGAAAAAACGTCTGAAAATGTAACACTGGTCTGGAAAACATAGTACATAATTATGAGGCCTAAGCTTTAAGAGATATTTGCGCGTACGCACGTGTATGTGTATGTGTGTGTGTTTGTGCGTGTGTTTGTGAGTAGGTACAAACATATTTGTCCATGTCTGTGTATATATATATATGTGTGCATGTCAGCTGTACACATATATTAATTGTTCTTAGAGTGCTTTATGAGTAGTCCTTTGATTTTTTCCACCTTCTGCAGTCCATAGTAAAACTTTTGTACAAAACAAATGGCTGATTTGTTGTCGTGACATCTATTTCAAGTAACCAACATTGAAGAGAAGCAGTTTTTTTTCTCTTCTTCTTTAAAAATGAACAATGACTCACTCATGATTGAAGCATTGTTTTATGAGTGTCGCTCTTTTGCTGTATGCAAAAACAGAAGTGCTCATAACATAATGATATTATGCTCAAATCACTCAACTCAAAACCAGACTAGGCCAGTGTTTGCAGGACTTCTTGTGCCAGTCAAAGAGGGCACAAATACACAGAATTATTCTAGACTCCAAATCTGATATTTCAGTTTGTAGCTTAACACCTTCTTGACAAACATAACAGTTAAGACAAGAATTTTTTTTTATATGACATAATGGTTGACACTGAAAATGAATCTTCCAGATAACAGTTTAAAACTAATCCTAGTGACCGAGTTACTTAAAAACTAGTTGACCGTTTTCCCCGTATCATTTATTCCCTTTGTTTATTCTTTGCACTGTTAAAACTGACAGAGAATTCATACGTTGTGTGTGTCAATGATTACTCTACATTTTGAATTTTTACCCTAAAATTTGACTACTGTCCATTGCCTCAACCTTGAAAGAGCGCCCCCTTGGGCACTACAACAAGATCAAGGAAGCAACACTGAAAACAAAATTAGTATCTTTTAAAAACATGCCAAAGCTAAATGATGTAAAGGAACCCCCGCTCCTTAAGTCAAGAATATTGTCTTTTTATAAAAAGTGTCTTCTGCTGAACACAATATCAGGTCAATAACATTACACCCCAATCTCTCACTGATCCTTGTAACAAGCATTTACAATGCAACCCCCCCACCCCCAAATCACTCCCCCAAAAGAGAAAGAAAAAGAAACTTAAAAACAACAAAACAAACATAGGTATAATACTAACTTAATGGATATTGTCACTTGCTGATGTGTCTTAGAATCTTTAAAGTCTTTTGAAAACAATCTCAAAACCTGCCAAAGTTCAGAACTGCAGCACTACCAAAGTTCAGAACATTCCTTCATAGACTTTTAAGAGAGATATCACAGAACTGAGGACAAAACTGATCAAAAGGGGAAGGTTGATACTGTTATAAAGATATACTGACAAACAAATGCACAAACAAACCTTCTGCAGTGCTGGGTAGGCCAGCTAGTTGACCGTCCACATCCCGCAGTTTGTCATCGTAAAATGCCCGCAGCCGCAGCATGTCCTGCTGTAGTTTGGCTTTGTTAGACTTCTCTGCCTCATAGGCAGACTTCATCTCATTCACCTGCGCCTCGTACTCCTGTGAATGTCGACATAAAAAAGTGAGGTGCAATTTTAAGAAATTTGCAGGAATTTACAGTAAAGTATCCCCTTTATCCATCCTGTAAACCTTGAATGTGTTACATACCATATGTGAGGCAGCGTGGTGAAATCAGGCGTTTCGTCAAAATAATGTAAGTCCAGAAACTGGCATTTTTCCTCAGGTTTGGGAATTTTCATAGAATATTGGTATTCTGGCTCAACACCTTTCATGCCCATTAAAGAATACATTTCTGTGTGGATTTTACTGAAAAACATTGATTAAAGCCAAGAAGATGTAAATTTCCAATTACCACGGACTCTCAGGCAAAGGACAGGACTCAGCATAGGCAGCTATTTTCTCGCTAATTTTACCTCTAAAACCAGGCGACCCCCACCTCCTTCAATTGCCAATATCTTGCAGTGCTTCCACCAGCTGAAGCTGAAAAGTAAGGAAAATTCTGCCGGGGGGTCTGGGGGCCGCAGAGGTCCCCAGCAGGGTCCAGGGACAGGGTCCAGGGACAGCGTCCCAGTGGGGTTTCGCTCCCAAAGAAATTGAAATTTAGTGCTTTTAGAGGGCTGAAAATGCCATTTGGGAGCCTGTTTGAAGAGATTGCCAACAAACCATAACATTTATTTTTTCACCATTTGTCTTGTTTGATTTCTTCACCAAGATCTACATAATATATTTCAATTGATGGCAATGTTTAAAAGCAGGTTCCCCTTCCATTGCTATTATAATTCAATAAATTTGTCATCGTACCATTGATTGAAGGCAAACCTGGGAATAATGAATAGATATGTACCTTCACAATATAGTTACCCTAATTTTCCTTAAATTTCACGTCCGAATGTCGCATGTCACAACCTCGGATCACCAATTCGAATGATTCTTGATTTTAGTAGTTTTAGGTAGGTTTTAGCATAAATTTCTTTCATCGCGGCCCTTATCACGTTCCCGCGCCATAGAATCTTCATATTGATAATTTCTCTACATCTACACAAATTTGTAAAAAAGTTTCTCACTGACAGTAATTTTCTGTCTAAGATCACAAGTCAATTTACTTGATCAACGCGCAGATTTTCCAGCTGCGGAAACAATCCGAAGATAGACGGAATGAGTGAATGATAAAAAGGAGGAAAATGGCACAAAAAGTTCGCCAGATTTTGATCAATACACAGGTGAAAATGTGCTGCCGACCAACCCGCAATGAAAGCATAATGTGGCATAGCAGAATAATGGCCGATTGCAGTAAATGCGCAATCTGGCAGGTTTCTATAACATTAACTTATTGCCGAGAGAATTACCGTAAATATCCGTAACTTATACTAGTACTAGACGATACGAAGGCGAGCACGGATCTTTTGCTATGGAATTTCGGTAGTCCTACACTGTCGCAGCTTTCTTCGGAGGGAGTTGATAATGATGGAGGAACAAGTATGGAACAGGCAGAAAGTATGGATTTCCGTAAAAATACGAAGAGTGGAAGCACTGATCTTGACTTGTATCCACAATAAATGGATATTTCTACACCAAAAAGGAAGGCGAATGGACAGGCTTTAAGATGGTACCAATAACGCCATATGCCCCAAAACTGACAAGCACTTGATTCCACTGCACCGTGACACATATGAAAGCTCATCATCTCTCTATAAACCACAATTTGAAATCAGCTTCTATCTTATTTTGTATGCTCTTGGGCTTCTTTTATAATTTCACTGCTGTGCACCTGTGCAGCTGTGTGTTACTGAATATGTCGAATCAAAAAGTGGATTTTTAAAAAATAGGACCGATTGAAACGCCAAAATGTAAGTATGTTCAAAAGTTCAAAATGTGACTGTGAGCCAACAGTGAAGATCATGACATTCTATCAGTCTATTTATTCTACTCCCCTTTTAAAAAATTTATGTATGTGATAATCAAACCAATACTGAAAGCCAAAATTTTCCCGTAATTAACAAGGCTGACCTTTACTTCTCTACCACAAACACCACACCATCGTAAAATATGCTTTCCTCTCAGTGTGTTCATTTGATCATTATTTAATTGGATTTCCTGGCTATAATAAGAAATTATGCCAATTTAAGTGTAAAAAAAAACCCATTGCAAGTGAGTTTTTATCCACTGCACCAAGCGCCTGAGGTAGCATGACAGGTGCTTGAATTCATTTCGGGGATCAAATTGACTGGCAAAAAAGTGATCCAGAGTGGAACAGCTGTGACGGGCGTAAAACATATCCAATAAAAAAATCCCAAAAAAACAACATGTTTACTTCTTTGATCCTCTCTTTCTCTGCCTCCAACTCCGCCCTCACTGAATCAGCATCAGATCCCCCAGACGAAGGACGTGAGGATTTCTTTGAGCGTGAATTGGCTGTAGCACCAGCTGAAAGTCAGTAAGTATTAGCCAGAGATTACAGATTTATCAGGGTCAAGTAAATGCACAATGCAAACACAGAGGAGTCCAGTTTAGATAAACCAGTAAAAAGAAAAAAACCTCTTAGGTCTATATTAAAGCTAAACAAGAGCCCTGCTACCTTTCTCTTTCATATTCCTTGACTGAGTGCACTAATAAAAATAATTTTTGCATCATAGAATTCGTGAAATGGATACAGATATAGAGTAATATTTCTCCATTTTACAATACCAAAACTGCTTATTATAAAGTGCAAGATATCTTGCTTACATGGTAGTCTGAAGGTCTAGAGAAAACTGAACAAACCAGAGATTTAGTTATGTCCTATCTTTTCTCCCTCCACAGCCCTTCCATAAAATATTCTATGCTGCAGCAAAAAATATCTTTTGGAGAACTTCATCTTTTTTAACATGGCATTAGGCCAATGGGCACACACCCAGAGGCTACCGGATTAAGAACAACAACAACAACAACAACAACAACAAAAAACACTACCCTTCCTTTCAACCTTCTGGACAGGACAATTCTTATTTAATAAGAAGTGCTGGAGAAGGTTGCATAAAAGCAACATAGCAAACCATTAAAAAGAAACACCCTATAAGAGAACAGACTGTAAAAGTAACACAGCACCGCAAATGAACTGGTCCTTTCTAAAAAAAAATGCTAAATATCACTTGAATGATTTGAGAAAAAGTGCAAAACTCCTGAAGTTAATCATGTTTGAAACCTGGAACAGGGAGATGAAAAAAGCCTATCTTTTTCCTCACAAAGTTTTTCCCTGCATCACCTATTGGAATGTTGGACAGAATACAGGCTGGGGACTGTGGTGATACCCTTACATATTTTTAAAAAAAATTGATTTCAGTAGATTCCTGGCTGTTGTCTCCAATTCTAGCACAGAGAAAAGTCAAGCCATGATGTAGTAAATACTATTTTTGCCATTCTCCGTGTTAGGTGTGAACCAGCACCAGCAGTAGATGTATTTGGGAGTATGCCCGTGTGAGCCCTTGTAGATGGTTCACAAATGGATTCAGTGTGTCAGGCGACATGGGATAGAAACATTTGGTGCTAAGAAATACAGTCGAAACTGTCTACAACTGCCACACATTGTCGAGGAGAAAAGAGGCCGTCTTAGACAGGCGTCAGTCTTACACAGTGTCATTATAATGTAAATAAAAACTACAACGGAGGAAATGGGAAGTGGCTGTTTCTACAGATGATTGTCTTATACAGGTAGTAGTTAAAGCAGGTTTGACTGTATTTAAATTTTCCTCAACAACAAACAAAATATGAAGAAAAACTTACCAGCCACAGCGGCTTCAACAGGGATCTGCCCCGCCAGCATAGCCTTGAGCTTCTCAATCTCCTCCTGGTACTGCCGCAGCAGTGCATCTTTCGGGTCTTCATTGATCTTCGGCTTGTTCTTGATATTCTTGGCACGGTTAGCGTAGCGCAGGGTTGACAGGGTCTCGTCATAGTTGTTGTCTGCCGGTGACAGGCAGGCCACCATCATGGTCTTTGTGTTGCCACCCAGGGAGTCCTGAAGAGGGGACAAGGAGTTTGGATAACATAGTAGTTTCAACATAACATGTTTGTGAAAAGGCCAGATGTACATTAAGACAACACAGAACTTTTTAAAGAGCACAAAATGTGACAAAACAAATGAGAGAGAGAGAGAGGGAGGGAGGGAGGGAGGGAGGGAGATAGAGAGAGAGAGAGAGAGAGAGAGAGAGAGAGAGAGAGAGAGAGAGAGAGATCAACTAACCTGCAATAGACGGGTGAGCTTGGAGTCTCTGTAGGGAATATGTTTAGACTTTCCATCAACAAGCGCTGAGATAACATTTCCAAGGGCAGAGAGGGACAGGTTGATCTTAGTGGCTTCTTTTAAGCGATCACCCGTTGCACCTGTGAAGTGGATGAGAAGGAGGAAATGGAGTAATGAGAAACACATAACAAAGTTCACTTAAGATCTGCTGTGTGAACAGTAAGTGAGAGCAATAATAGCTAAAAGCCACCAGTATCAAAGAAGTATTTTAAAAAATACTGTAAAGGAATAGGAGGAACTGACCACACTTGACCACCCTTCAACCACCCCAGACAAAGAAGGCTTTCCTTCTTCAAATTTTTTTTACTGAAAACAGCCTTTGATTTTATATAACAAGGCTGCCTATTATGGTCCAACAATTGAAGAATATGTTGTCTGCTCTTCCAGCTCAATGGCACACCTCATCATGACTATATAATTTTTCTAGGTATGAACTGGACACGAAAGTTTCAAAATAACAGAAACTAAAGAGGAAAGATAAAAATAGAAAAGGATAAGACTGACACAAAAAGAGAGAGGCAGAGGTAAAAGGAGAGATATACCAAAAGAGAGAGGAGGTATGAGATAAAGAAAGAGAGAGATGAGGAGGGCTAGCAAAACAGACAAAGAATAATAGATACAAACTTGAAATAACAGAGAGAGAGAGAGAGAGAGAGAGAGATAGAGAGAGAGAGAGAGAGAGAGAGAGAGGGAGAGAGAGAGAGAGAGAGAGAGAGAGAGAGAGAGAGAGAGAGAGAGAGAGAAATAGAGAGAGAGGCAGAGATTGAAAGAGAAAGAAAAACATGAATTGAAGAATAGGACAAACAATGAGAGACATATTTTACAAACAGAGAGAAAGAAACATAGTCACCTGTTTTGCCCTGTCTCTCACTCCCAGCAAGATCCACCAGGTTGAGTTTGCCAGCCCGGATATGATCCTCCCCACTGTCATCCGTGTTCGCCATCTCCATATAGATGGTGAAGATAGAGTGGCTGCGAGAAGAGTCTGCGTTCATCAGTGTGGCTCCAGTGCTGCGGTTGTTCCAGCCTTTGTTCATGATATGTTCACACTCAGAAACGTTGTGCACAGGATGCATAGACAAACCTGAAAACATCACATGCATATTCAGTTAATTAGTTAAAAAGCATGTTATTCTCATAGAATCTTTGTAAGGCATCTTATGTGAAAGCTGTTTAGCCTTTTGTTCTTATATGAATCGGCTGCCTCTGTCTTACTAGCAAACAGCAGTGAGCTCTGAGTTCCTGTTTGGTACACTTTCATTTTTGGTCTTGGTGTTGAGATTTTCCTTCCACTGAACTTTCTTTGTCAACTTTCTCAAAGTTGTAAATTTGTAAATTTTGACATTTAGTTTGTTTTAATAACTGCATAAGGTCATATAAGCGCGAGAAAAAAGTTGGTTCTGTTCGCAGCAGGTCACTGCACAGCCGGATTCTGGTCAGAACTTCAACAAAAATGCTAAAAATTTTATGTAAATAAATTCTTAATTTAAAATAGCTTTTTAAATAAAATTTAAAATTTTGACGTTTATTACAATTTTTCATAAAGGCCAATGGCCTTTATAAAATCTAGGATTCTGTTGGGATTAACGGCGGAAAACAGCTCTTGCAATTGTTTGCATCTAAAATATTTCCTTCAGGTCCCTCCGAAGTCTAGACATTCTGTTAAAATGTGTCTAATGGAAAAATCTGTGTCGCATCCCACAGAGAACAGCTTCTCATCTCCCTGAAGGAGGTATTTATGTGTCAGGGACGTGTATCCGATGTGCAATCGAGTAAAAATGACTTTGTCTCTTCAGGAGAGGCCTGAAGATTTTCGCAGACCCAGTTTGGGCTTAATGTTGTGTAGTTTATTGTCTTCTCGTTCTTTCCAATGGGTCTCCTACAGAATGGAGGAATTTTGATATTTAGCTCTTGGTCAAGTGCTTGCCAAGTAAGTGAAGTTGTCTATCATTTCCACCTTTCCATTTCCAGTAGAGATTTCCGATAGCTCTGGATCATCTTGGAAGAATACATGGCAGGCGCGGTTCGTCCATTGAGCACGGTCGTGCAGTGCCGCCCAATATTTTAATGTTCTATTACGTAAAACACCTACAATAACAAAATAAAAGACGCCAGAAACAAACACTAGCCAAATATTACATCAAAATACGTTTCTCACTGGCGCCGTAACAGTCATTTCTGTGTCTATAGCGCCGTAAAACATCTACTATGCCATGCTAAAGTTCATGCGCTGTATCTATGCATAGCAGGATATTCAACAGTGGAAACCTGACCTAAAAATCGCTCTTTGGGATAACCCAAGCGATGACGACACTCCTAGCGAGTTTGGCGGTACATTAATGTTAATAAGACGGCACATCTCAAATGTGCTCCTGCCGAATAGTGTCGAAACATATCCCGCAGTAGGCAATCTAAAAATAAACGCGATAGACTGTGCACTATTCTATGCCAAAATTATGTCAGCCCCGGAGCAATCCAGTGGAGTGCTCAAGTGAATTGGGATTGGTTCATTGTCTTGCCGTTATTTTAAGTGACTCTGTGACCATGAACCTGAGGGAGGTGAACGTGACACACTTAAGTCATCGTCCTATGAGTTGTGCTTTTGAATGGTTTTGTAGTGGAGTGGTGAAAGGTATTACTTGAGCGTTCAGTTCTAAAGCAGGATGAATGAAATTGACGTTTAGCTAACAAACAGATTTAGTTCTAACAAGTACAAAGAATGAAAATAGAATCACAAGGTTTTCCCTCACTAAACCAAAGATCCTAAAATTATACACCATCTCATTTACTATGCCCTTGACTATCTTCAACCTAAGACAGCTTAAGTGTGCACGCCCACTTTTTAGACCCACGAACCGCCCCTGATACATGGGTCTTTTTCTTTTTGACAGTATCACACACTCAAAAGTATGCAAATAAATAAAGAAGACACACCAAAGTATGTACATCCCTCACAAGAAAGACGCATTAACCCAAGTGAATTGGCCAGCCAAAGGAGTTATTGTGAAGTACAAATGAGGAAATCAACCCTTTCAGTGGCTGGCCCAGGACAGACAGTCCTCATCAATAAGATTACAGAGCAGGCCTGTTTGTGCAATGGGTAAGGAAAAAGAACCTAGCTTGATTAGAGTATGCATCATTATAGAAAGTAAATCCAATGTAATGCTTTGAAGAACAAATTTTAAAACCAGAAAAGCTTTGATAAATGTGAGCACGGCATAACTAGTCAAGAGAATGCAAACCATTTTACTCACCACTGACATAGACACCTTTCTCCGGGTGCTCTTTCAAATCTAGCTTTGCTCTGGCATCTTTCCCAAGCAGATCACGAATTTCTTCATTGTAGATTTCCAGATATGAGGCATGGATAAGAAACTTAATGCCTTCTTTGATGCTTGTAGTCTCAAATATATGAGCAAATGCCCTGCAGAGAAGCGGTATACAAAATTACAACAAAGATTTAATAAGACATTTACAGTGAATAAAATTTTGAAATGGTACTTCTCCTTTTATAAATTTAGCTTCATTCAACAAATAATACCAAACAAAATCAACAGCCCATCAACAATAACAGCTAGGGAAAGAGAAACAACTAGGCTAATAACAAAATGAAAAAATCTGACAGATCCATAGTTGAGTTCCAAAGCTCATACTTTAACCCACGAGACCAAGACAAATATAACAAGGTGACAGCACCATATCTTGACCGACAGGGGGAAAATTAGAAAATAGGTCAGTATTTTTTAAAGTTATTTACTTGCATGACTAAAGGCAAATATTGTGCAGCTTTCTTAAACTTCATCTCCTTCCTCCTTCCTCCTTCCTCCTTGTTATCTTTTTTTTTTTTTACCAAAGCCATTTCCACTTGCAGTTTGCATGGATTTTTTTCTACTCCAGGCCTGTTTAAATCTATGACTTACACGAAAGAGCTTTTCTGCAATATTTAAGTGTCATCTTTTTATTCATATTCAAGGCATTTCATCATTCTCTCATTGATAACCTTGGACAATTCTCAAAATTTTCTTCACCAGTAGATTTCCACCTTTCAAAGAAAAATGTCTGTCCTGTGTCATTGCATCCCATATAGAGCAATACAGTGCAACAGACCAGAGGGGAGATAACGGCATATGCCCATAACAATGCAGACACATTTCAGAGAGAATACATACCGAGGAATGATGCCCCTTTGGGTGGCAGGGTTCGTGATGCCCTGCATAGAGAAACTTTTTCCACATCCTGTTTGTCCGTAAGCAAAGATTGTGCCATTGTAACCCTCTGTCACACCCTACATGAAAATATGACAAAGGTGAAAATCTTCACAAAATGGGAAGAAAACACACTGATAAGAGACGAATTTCCTTAAAAATTACGAGGACAATGATACTTATTCAGCTTTGAGAAATATAATTCTTTTATAAGCTTAAAATACATGTTGCAATACTCAAGATATTATATACGGTATATATATATATTCTCTTTGCATCGCTTTGTACGAAAAGTGTTTCTATCCTCTTATCCAGTATTATAGCCCTTATCTTTCTCATTTCAAAAATTTTTAAGGAGGCCTTAAAAAAATGATGATCTGAAAATATATTGACACGACAATGATGCATATATATAAAACAACTGTTTTAAATGACCAAACCAGGAATAATTAAATTACACACCTTATAAAGAACAGGTAAGACAGGGATATTGACATAAATTTCGAAAACTTTCATTCACCACTTAGCAAAGACAATCAATAAAAGCCTTTTTGAATAAAGAATGGTAAACGCACAACTTCCATAGAAAATTTTAGTGATAACTGACAGAAGCAAAAAAGCAAGTCTAAAAAAAATCAAAATGTTTCGTTTAAGAGGGCCATATTATAATGATAATTTACCTTTTTGCCACTTACAAGAACTGAATTGACAAAGAAAAATTCTCTTGAAATAAAAAAAAAAAAAAAAAATAATTATATATGCACAGTAGGCTACCTCAACTAAAGGGTATGCAATTTCACTGTATATCTGCTCCGTCGTAGAATCCACGAAGTAAGCTCCATCAAATGTAAACATTTTGGGAGGCGCCTTTGGATCTCCAGGATTTATAATGCTGCATTGTCCCTTCGGTGTGTCCATACCAATGACTGTGTTACACTTCAAGCCTTTCTCCCGCTCATTCATTGGGCGGCACCTCACAATGACCTTAACGCACTCTGCCATGTTTGCAGAGAATTTGAGCACTCACTATCACAGAAATGAGGATTATCGCTAACTACGACTTGTAAATCTGAAAGAATGAAAAAAACGGTGGGTTATAAAAGAAGGACATTGGTGTTTGATGGTAATTCCATTCTGACATTTAGGGCACTTTGACAACATACATCATTGCATTTTCTTGCATGCACACGCTTGAGCAAGTACTATGTGACAAGAGTCTCTACATGCATGCCTTATTTGGAAAGTTTAAGTTTTAGTAGAGGTTTTACGGCATTCGCAACTGCATAAGGTCATCTGAGCGCCAAGGTGTGGATGTCAACAGAGCAGTCCTTACAAGGAATCAGGCTTACTCTGCTCACCTCTCTGGCTTCAACAGCACAAAGTCTGCTTCGACTATCAAGGCACCCCGGAAATAGCGGGTCACAAGAGAGTGACAAACATACAAAAGAAGTAGAAGAAAATGATGACAGCTAGGATCAGGAAAGAAAAAGCAGCAGTTCCCTGTTGCAGTTCAGGCACAGTTATGAGGATGACATTGATTTACCAGCCCATTCACAAATCTACTGTGCATAAGAACATGTTAATGTCCCTCCATTGGAAATGGCCTAAAGACACTTCAGTCAGTAGCATCGCCCCGGGGGGGGGGTAAATTTGGAAAGGGAGAACAGGTGATGTAATATGCCATACAATTAATCATTTTTTCCATGTTGAAACAAGAACAACCCAAGGCGAGAAGCTTGCCTTGGAACATATACCCATTATAATGTTACAAGGGAACAGAGACAAAAACAACCAGATGCGCACGCCCGTCATTGCCCCATTCAAAGTGACCAATGAACAGGCTCAGAATAATCATGCGGGGATTTGTAGGTCACATGAAACATTTGCAGAGGGGGTGAGGGGAAAATGGCCGGTCTCTGTGAGAAGCCGCTTTGGACAGGGGGGCGGGTAGTTTTTAATTGTGCAGTAAGTTAGGCTGAATTGAATTTATATTTTATAGTTGGCATGGTCTAAAGTCATCAAAGAAAGTTTGGCTATTAATTAGTTAGGCTGCCTTCAATTCTTAAAGATCCCATATGTTGTGATACGATGCTATGAATAAAAATGCTCTCATCCCGACACCTCTCAAAATCGTAATATGTACACCAAAATTTTAATTATAACAAAATAAGTATTATAAATGGTTAGTAAATATGAAAGCAGAAATGAATTCTCCACCTAAAAACACATTGACAGGCCAAGTTTCTTTCAAACACTAAAATTAATTACTGATATGTCTAGCACATCTGCTGTTACATGGTCCACTTTTTAAGAGTATTTTCCTATATCTGGGTCATCCATATTTTGCCACACGTTACAACCACATATCTTTTTAAATTTATGAACCGATTCTTTAAATTAAATAGCATAATCCTTACAATTGAAAACTGTATCGATCTTAGGTACCAAATATAAAACGAGTGAAAAATCAATTTTTCATTCGCACTGCTATCCAAGTGGTTTCTGCAGATTTTAAAGGTTTACAGTTAGGGCAACATCGCTTTTAAAAGCAAATCTGTAATTTTTTTCTATTTGCAAGGTTATGTAAAACTTATTGAACGTGGGTTTTGAGAACCTTTATTTTAGTGCAAGCAAAAAAACGTGTTCTTTATATAAAAATCAATTCCTTGTAGGTCTAACAAGTTTTACCAATAAAATGTGGCATCGGTGAACTGTGACGTAGGCCGTAAGTGAATGCGAAAAGTGTGTGAGAAGTAGGAAGTGCTGTGAACAATTCCATTTTCTGCGCGACGGAGATAAAGATTTATAGTAGATCTATTTTATATAAATTTATGAAGAAATGTTTTTTAATCTAGCCTCAATAAGTATGCTTTAGTCAAGACAAATTGATGCAAACTGCTGTGCAAAGCATGAGTGACATTGATTCACCTGTTAACCCATTTCAACGCCGCAGATAAATAGGCCCCTGTGCCAGGGAAAATCCCATGAAACCAAGGACGCTCAGTGATGATCCCACTTTATCTCCTATAACTTTTTTTATTTTTTGAATATTTCCTCAAGAATTTCTGCTTGTACATTCTACTTTGAACCACATTTCTATTTATATAATTTTGGGGGGATAGTTGGAGTTAGTAACATGATGCCCAAAAACACCATAAAAAAATATATAAACAATGCACATTCGAGTAATGATAAAATGAGACTAAAAAAGGGAAATACATGTTATGTGAGTGTTTGCAGAAAAAAAAGGAAGGGATAAGAGGCTTTTCCAATACTCGTAAAATCCATATATATATTTATATATATATTTTTTTATATATATATATATATATATATATATATATACATACGAGAGTGCGGCGGCGGAGCGGTTCATGTGCTCGTCTCCGAAGCGGAAAGTCCAAATGCGACCCTTGGTTCAGACACATATTTTTTTTCCCCCTCCGGCCCACCCAGCAGTAATGAGTATTTGACTTCGAGTTGGGGAAGTAAAGGCAGCATGGAAAGGAACTGGCTATCCTACCACAATATATAATGCCAAACGCCCAGAAAGTTGTCTCACTAACAAGGCAATCCCCAATGTCCTGATCAGATGCGGGAACAACTTTACTTTATATATATACATATACATGTAAGCCCATTATTTTTGTGTGGTAGGTGTGTTAGATCTAGATCTAATCTTCTCTATGAGCTAAAATCAGAATCTGACACTTTCAAATGGGAGGAAAATGGAGGTGAACATAAAAGGAAAGCACTTCAATAATAATTACAAGATTTTAGCAGTAACACCTTCCCTTATAATTGTTATCAAAACAACCTCTGTCACAGTCCCATAAATTCTACGGACCATAGGCACAGCGCTACTAAGTTCAGGCCCGTAAATTCTACGGGCGCGGCAACAAAGAGGTTAAAGAGATACTTGAGGATAAGTAATTATGCCAGAAATTTTTTACTACACCATATATATATTATATGCATCTCTCTCTATATATAATGGTAGCATCAATTGCGACAGAGTGACGATGTGACAATTAATGCGGCGTTAATTGCGACAGAGTGAGTCTGTGACAAAAACAAACAAAAAATTTAAAAAGAAAAAAGAAACACACACACACATACACGCACTCACACTTCCACACACAAATACACAGACACACGCACACACACACACACACACAGACGCACATGCTTGTGGTCTTAAATACACACACACACAAATACAAAACTAACAAACATGCAAAGACAGTCGCAGCTCTTTTCTTGTTGTTTCTGTTGTTGCCCCTAGAGTGCGACAGAGTGACGCTGTGACAATTAATGTGGCATTAATTGCAACAGAGTGAGTCTGTGAGAAAAAAAAAAAAGAATTTAAAGAGAAAAAAGACAAACAAACTGAAACACACACACACACACATATACGCACTCACACACAAATGCACAAACACACGCACACACACACTTACACATTAGATCTAGATCTAATCATCAACGCAAAAGAGCTCCGTGTTCACTCTGTCGCAATTGACGCCACGTTAACCGGTTGGCTAGCCGTAGTATGGCTAGACTGCTGGGGTAGCTGTACTTATTTTTAATATGATGGCTAAGACTGACCAAAACAAAACAAAAATAGGCCTACTGAAAAGTACATAAATTTTTAGTTTGCAGTACCTAAATTGTCGCCCCTGCAGGTGGGGGGCCCCATAGTTTCACTATGGGGGAGTAAAGAATACACCTGCCGTGATACTGTGTCGTAAGAGGCAACTAAAGGTGCATAGGTCTGGCCACCTGAAAAGTGACAGTTTGCAGAGGGCCAACTTCCCGACCCAGTAAAAAAGAAAAGTTATAGAAACACGAACAAACATGCCTTATAATTTTTCCATCTCAGGAGACGGAGGAGCTTCTGCATCAGCTGGAACAAGGAAAGACAGTGGACAAAGCTGAAAGGACTCTTCTGACCCGAAACCTTCTTTGTCAAACAAGTCTCTCCGGACTGCGTTGTGGAATGTTCGCACCATGTATGAAGCAGGAAAGCGTTCTCAAGTGACACAAGAGATGAAAAGATACAGGCTGCACATACTAGGAGTCAGCGAAACCCACTGGATACAGTCTGGACAGAAGCAGCTCAGCTCCGGGGAACAAATATTATATGCTGGGAGGGAAGACAAGCACCATGTGGAAAGAATTGGAATTATTTTGAGTAAGTATGCACAGAAGTCACTTAGAGGATGGGAACCACAGGGGGAGAGGATCATCATGGCTTCTTTCACTGCCAGAAGTAAGAGCATCAACATGAACATAGTACAGATCTATGCCCCAACAAACGATGCCTCGGATGATGACAAGGATGCTTTTTACAGCCGGCTCCAGGGGGTCATCGACAAACTACCAAGGAAAGATGTCAACATCATGATGGAAGATGCTAATGCCAAGATTGGGCAGGACAACGTAGGTTATGAGGGAATCAAGGGACAACACGGCCTGGGACAAATGAATGAGAACGGGGAGCGATTCCCAAATCTCTGTGCTTTCAACAGTCTTGTCAACGGAGGCTCTGTTTTTCCCCATAACAAGATCCACAAGGCTACTTGGGTATCACCGGATGGAGTAACGGAGAACCAGATCGATCATTTTTGTATCTCTCGTAGGTTCAGGCATTCACTGGAAGATGTCAAAGTACAGAGAGGGGCAGACGTTGGATCGGATCATCATCTGCTGTTAGCAAAACTCAAGCTTCATCTCAAAAGGCATGGAACCAGAACAGGAACCAAAAGAATGAAGTTCCAAGTAAGTCTTTTAGATGGACACAAGAAACAGGAGTTTCAACTGCAGTTGAGGAACAGATTTCAACCCACTTGGTGGATCTTGGTGAGGAAGACATGGAGGAGGAGATGCACTGGACCAAGGTCAAAGAAGTCTTTACTTCAACATGTCAAGAAATACTCGGTGAGAAGAAATTGGAGCACAAGGAATGGATTAGCCAACAGTCATTGGATTTGATTAGCATTAGATACCAATTGAAAGCAGAGAGACAAAATGCAAGTAGAACAAGGGGATCAAAAGCGGACGCATTGGAGCAGTACAGGACAACTAAAGATGTAAAGAGACATCTGAGAAAAGACAAGGAGGAATTCATGAACAGGCTGGCAGAGAGGGCACAGGAGGCAGCAGCAGGAGGGAACATGCGAACCCTTTACCAGACTACAAAGACTCTTTCTGGAAAATATGGGAAACCAGAAGTAACAGTAAAGGACCAAAACGGAAAAACCATTTTTGGAAAGGAAGCTCAGTCAAGACGATGGGTAGAGCATTTCAACAGTCTCCTGAACAGACCACCACCAAGTACCCGCCAAACATCCTGCCAGCAAGAAATAAGCTACCAATCTGCTGTGATGCCCCATCAAAACAAGAGATTATGGATGCCATTAGGAAGCTGAACAACGGTAAAGCGGCCGGTCCTGATCAGATTCCACCTGAGGCCTTAAAAACAGATGCCAATGAGACAACAGACCTCCTTCTCCCATTGTTTACCAGGATTTGGAAGGAGAGCAAGTTCCCAAAGGATTGGAAAGAAGGACACCTTGTGAAACTAACTAAAAAGGGGGATCTCAGCAACTGCAGCAACTACCGAGGAATCACTCTTCTCTCAATACCAGGAAAGGTCTTCAACAGAATAGTTCTGGAGAGAATCAAGACAATCAAGTCTGCAACTGATCCAATACTTTGGGATGAACAGGCTGGTTTTCGGAAAAATCGGTCAACCACGGACCAGATTGCTACCCTGAGGATCATAATGGAACAGTCCCTGGAGTGGAACTCCCAGTTGATCATCAACTTTCTAGACTATGAGAAGGCATTTGACAGCATAGACCGAGCAACACTGTGGAAGATACTGAGACATCACGGAATCCCACAGAAGATGGTTAACCTCATCAGGAGCATGTACGAAGGGACAAGTAGCAGGGTTATACATGATGGTCAGCTCACTGACAGCTTTGACATGGCTAGCCGTATTTATTATTGATGGCTGAAATGTAAATGAAATGTTTAGTTTGCAATGCCTAAAGTAGCCTACTTGTTACAATTTGTATTTCAGACAAAACCAAAAGGCACCTTACTACTGACTTGCATGTATTATAAACCTGAATAATTACTATATCTAGATCTAAAATGAGACCTGTCGTCACCTGTGTGCCCTGTGTGCTCAACAGATTTGGGTTGATAGGGCCAAACCTAGATCTAAGTACGGCTAGACTGGCAGTCTAGCCGTACTTAAGCTCTCAGGCTAGTGGTACGGCTAGCCACTTCGTTTTTCATTTATATGTTAAATTTGTGGTGCTTTTTCGGTAGATCTAGTTCCCACCCCCCTTATTTGAGCCAGACTTACTTCTAGATCTAGATCTATATGTTTGATTCGCGGTGAGCTAAGATCACGGCGTACAGACAGCGCTCTTTTAGTTGGATCGGCGATGGAGTGACCGGGTCACGGCGGGCCGGTCACCCAGAGGTCACTAACCCGCCCTCCCGCTACCTGCGTCGGTAGCCGGTGAAATGAATTTTTCAACACATGTTTTATCGTCTTACACACAAAAAAAATATCATACGTGAACACAAGTTTGTTCTTTAGAGAAAGCAACTAAACCTCTTTATTGGTACGAAATAGCAATACCATGGCTGCTCACGTTTTTGAGTTAGCTGCTCTTAAAATGTATGTCTATTTATAGTTAGTCAAAACAACAAACACATATTGAATGGCTAATAACTTATAAGCCTAACGATAAATATTTACAAAACTGCCACGTAAGACAGGAAAATGTGTTTAGAAATTGACTCACTCAAAATTTTGTTTCCAGCACGAACATGGAACTTGTCATGAGCATGATAGCCAAAACGCTTCCCTGCATTCATGACTTTTTGTATCCAATGGATTGTGTATCCTCCTGAATAATGATATACTGACGTATCTTCAATATACAGCACCGATTTCTTTTCACGAAATGAACATGTACAGAATAAAAGTAAACATTTATACAATTTTTCTTTCTAAACATATCCAGCAGCACGCAATGAGGGAGCTATTTGCAGGAGATGCGACACAAAAATAAAACGCATTATGTCTATCTGGTTTGGGATCCTTCATACTCTGGCTTCCAGTTTTGAGATCACTTGGTGACTGCTTTCTGTGTCCTGTTCTCCTAAAAGCCCGAGAGCAAACATGTGTTGTTGTATGTGTGGAATACAGTGTTGTTATGATATGTGTGGCTTTGGGATAACTTTGCGGGGAAATAGCGTCTGAATGCGGACATGTAATTGTCAATTGCTAAGAAGATTTGTGGAAGTGAAAATCGTTCGACTGGTTTGAGATTTGATATTGCAGTGTGAACATGGCTAAATCTTTCATTGAGAAGATTGAATATTGCTTCCATTCCTTTTGCCTCCTCAATTTTTGCAGTTTCGACGGAGTATTTTCTTGTTTCTGTACAAATTGTGTTTGTTAGTTCCTTGCATACATGGGGATGGAGGGAGGTATGTTTGGGGTGTTTTACGATGTTAGCTTGAAATTGATCTTTGTATGCAGCCACCTAAGCGGTACCGACAAAACGGAGAAGGAATTCATATTTCTGCTATTGTCAAACGCACACCACATGTTCCTACTAGTGTCAACTGCTTTTTTGTGGCATAAATTGACGTGACGTAACACCCTATCTCCCTTTGATAGTTGAAATCGCGGTAAAACACTTGACACAAATGTTAGCGGAATACGACTGTTCATTTTCGTCCCTCACATCAATCCCATAAATCAATAGAATATCTCCTGCCATTGTCTTACATAATCGGGGCTTTCTGCACCTTTTTTTTGTTTGACAGTTAAATTTAAACACCAACACATCCAACAAAGTCCATTCAGAGACTCTATGCCTCTCACATGTGTGACTGGCCCATTGCAGTTTAACGATTTTTACTTAGGAACACAATTCACTAACTGATAGCCAGTCACTGCAAAGTGCTGGAAAAACAAAATTCACATCATTAGAAAATATGATTTGATGGCTATCACACCGCGCAAACAGAAATAAAGACCATCGTTCCATTCTCGGATGATTTGTAATTAAATTTGAAGAGATAACATTATTATCGGCGCTTCCAATCACTTAACACTCACAATTTAAAACTGTTATTATTCCCAAACGAATCAATGAAAACTGTTGAAACTTTCACAAGATATCAAGAAGACGTAGACGAAGCGGAATTGGTGAAGAAATAGATTCTAGGGGTAGAGTGAGCATCATTTTACGGCTCATGAAATTAGGGAAAGAAACGCGTTCTGATAAGGACAAGATAGGACAGCGCTGTGCACGAGTTGACCCCGGTCAATCCCTGACTTGACGCGTGAAATTGCAGGTCACCTGCCGCTAATTTATGGCCTACCGCGGGGGGCCCGGACTAACTAAGAGATCGCTGAGACGGAATTTCGGACGCCGTGAGATATCAAACCTTACAAAAGCAAAACATTAAATTGTGGTAAAATTCAGGGGGGCATGCCCCCCTGAAACCCCCCTTCCTATTTTTGTTAGGTCAGGGGGGTTGCCTGAAACCCCCCTACTATTGGGGCCAAACCCCGTGAATAACAATTGCGGGGTGGGAACTACCGAAAAAGCGCCAAATTTGTTTCGCAATTTCTGCTCATGGAGGTGAAGCAAGGGTTCTATCTAAGGTGATTTTTAAAGGTATAATTCATAGCTACATTCCTAGATAAGCTGGGCATAATTTGAATATACAAAAATATTTAAGCCCAAATGGTTAACAACTTTGCTTACAAAAATGATGTTGGGCACATCCTTCGTTGCCATGTGTAAACAAACACAACAGTGTCAATATTAGAACGGGAAACAGGCATAAACATACATATAAAAAGCTTGAAATTAAGTTAAAAACCTAAAACAGCTAATATTTTCAAAAGCTAGGTAGTTGTCTTTTCATAGACTGAACATATATCGAGGACCTTTACCGGTATTCACAAGTTTATAGCACTCAAGATGATGTTTTCCACGGACATTGCACTGGATTCCGGAAGTTTGATTAACTTAAATGCTCTTCATTTTGTTGGACTGGCTTGGAAAAGGGATTTCATATGTTTACCCATTTCATTTCGTTATCAATTTTTTGTAAAATATTATATCCTCAGCAGGGAATATTATATGGTTTTTGAAATAATATAATAGTTTGATTAGTTTAATTACCTTTATTCACATGCAAAATTCCACATAAATTACTACTTACGACAGGGGTTACAAGGGGGTTGGGGGAATATCACGTGACGTGTACTATCATTGCTATAATAATAGATCACATGACTTGGTGTGTTGTGACCGCGGTGAACTCAATACAAAACGATACTAAACAATGCCTGTGGTGTGAAAGGGAAACCTGCCCTCTGTTTTGAATGTTTTGGGAGCCAGTGCTTCAAAGAAGTTTGAAAGAAGGAGGCGGTGTCTGATATTTGGATTGCATTGCCAGTTGATAGGTTCCTTAAATTCAGAAGCATGTTGTCAGCAAGGCAGGGAAAGCGGCCGGTAGTCGCTTGCCCACTGTGCTCTGCAAAGTAAGTTAAGTCCAAGTTGCGTAATTAATCACAATATTTGCCCGGCGCTAGAATCTAGTCTAGATCTAGAATCTAGGCTAAATCTCTGAGATTCTAGATCTAGATCTAGAAATCTAGCTATGTTAGGCTTACAGACATAAATCGGTAAATTTGTACTTTCACAAGACAAGACAAGACACTGATGCACTGCTTAGGTTAGGGGGTCAAACTGTCTGTAGATGTAGACTAGATAGATCTATGTCTCTAGTCTAGATCTAAGGCACTAAGATCTAGATTTCTAGTAATTTTTGCTGTAGATTACACATAGTCACATAGGCTACATAAAAGTCACTAAAACTAAAACTGCGTTGCAAATCAATTATTTTCAAAATTTCAAACCCTTCGTTAGGACAGTACTCTGCAAAAAAATATCAAATTATGATTATCGAAGTGACTATTCGGACTCGGATAGAGTCAAGATATTGATCTATCTAGATCTAACTGGATGAATGAAGGCTCACGTCTCGACAGTTATTATTTTATTATAATAGGCCCTAATCGAAAAAATGTTCGTAAATGCTACAAATATTTGGAACAAGGGTTGGAAGTTGGAACGGCGAACGGACTTCATGCTGGACTCAAGTCAGAGTCTTTTTGAGTAAAGTGGGCTGCATGAGCCGGCCTTGACTATAACTCGATGATTGAGTGATTACATTTTCTAGTTTCTTTTGGACGCCACTGTATGTTCCATGCTATTTACCGATTGGCGCAATCTTAATGTTGCACTGCGTGTTTTAACATTCGTATTGCGAATCTAAAGTAAGATTGCGTACAGTAGTCTCCGCCTAAACGCACGCCATACAAAAGCACGCTCCGCTCAAACGCACGATTTCGTC